AATACCAAGTTATGACATGAGTGACACAAAACTCACCTAGAATACATAATGGATAAAAAAAGCATATAAGAAAATGAATGAATGAATAAATAAATAAATGACTAAATAAAGCCTAATCTAGCTTTATAAGGTTCTACACTCAAAAATATTAAAATTACTACAAAGATAATTGGAGTATGTTTTACAAGAAAAAACTATTTGTCTTTCTTCAGAATTTTTTTTAATTCAGTGTGCCACTTGCCATTTATTTCTAATGAGCTGAAATGTTTTTATTCATATTTTTAGTACAAAAAAATTCAAAATATGAAGCCAATTAATTATTCATAAAAATCATATTTATTACAGAAATTTCCAGGATTTTATTATTATTATTATTATCATTATTATTATTATTTAAAGCTACTGTATCTACTTCCACTCTTGAACTTTCCAGTTCTGTAAATAACCATTTTAGAATTTCCAGATTTTTCCACCACCGTCTGGACCCTGATCATAAATGCTGTCTGATCATAAATAGGCCTGTCACGATAACAACTTTTTGTTGTGCGATATATTGCCCCAGAAATAATTGCGATAAGCGGTATTATTGTCATCTTAAAGACCATTTTATGTCACTGAATATATAATCATAATGTAACAGCATAATAATGCAAGAAGGCCACACACTTCCAAATGACAAACTTTTAATTTTCGATAAGTCGATATATTGATTATTGCGACAGGCCTAATCATAAACTGACGACACACTGATACACACTTGAAAATGACCCCCAGGCCGAGTCCAGAGGGGCTGGTTTACTAACTCGATCTCAGAACAGGTGTAATCCAGCATGTGTCGTCCAACAGAACATGGCTACCAAAATACACAGCAAATGTGCCATTACACAACACTGCAAGTGTCCAAGTGCGTTACACAATCGCAGACACACACAGCTAACCGTGAGTACTATGGTGTTGCTTAATCACAGGGCGACTGCTACAAAAGACATGTATCATGTCACACTGTACAAACAGCAATACGCCGCGAAGCATTTCACAACACTGAACTTAAGGGAAGAGACTGAAAGAGTATGAGCGTCGCAGGGAGCGGGAGTCTTTGTAATGTAATACCGACGGCCTGTGTTCACTGCGCACTGGGATGTGAAGGTGTCTGTTATTCTGAGGCCCCTACAGGCACCTAGGAGCCAAAAACAACAGTCCAACTGCACCTGCTGCCACATAAACACACATTAAGACATGCACACAACCTCCTAGCATGTACATACCCACAAATTATAGGGAATAACCCTATGTAAAGGTATACGAACACTCTCTCAATTGAAAGCACAGGTAGCTGTGACCCTTTAATGTGTAAATCAATCTCCCTCCCGCTCTGCCGTAGGTATGAAAGGGTGATTGATGTACACGGGCCGGCAGGCGACCACAGGTATGTGTGGTTTCTTTTGTAGTCGGAGCCCACATCTGAAGCCATTACGCTTCCCGCTAACAGTGCTAGCCGCTCAACAGAGTACCTCTCGCCTCCCCAGAGGGATCTCCACCACCTCAAACCGCTGCCTCAACAATGAGGAGGTTTGTTGGAGTCCACAGCTGCTGAGAGCATGCTTTGTTTTTAGGGTGCTGGTGCAATCTAGTATGCAATATTAATCTTTTAAATCTGGTGTGTGCACAACCAGATGCGAATGGAAAATTAATGTTCATAATGTCTGGTGACTTTTTAAGGGCGAAATCCAGTTTTTTCCAATGGGAAATCAAGCTACTGGGAATTTTGACAGATTTATCCATGCAGATTTTGTAACAGGTTCAAGCTGGTCACACGGATTCGCCACTTTGTCAAACAGAAAGCTGCTTGGTTTGAAAGTGACTTCTGTGTAAGCTGTGCTTTCTATATCTGCACTATTGACAATATACACTGCATCTTTTTTTTTAGCCTGTGAAATTTCACCAAAATTTGTCTAATGTGAAGGTTCCCCGTCTTCCATTGTTTGGACTGATGGTCAAATGTCAGTGTCCATTGTTGTTACTGATATGTGAAGAGTAGGAAGGCTAATACAATGCTGATATATAGGCTGCTTATATATAGGCTATAGGCTGCTGAATGCCGATATAAAGGCTACATAATACAATTTAATAACAGCAAATGAGATATACATACAATAGATATAATATGGTAGACATGTCTAATGTCTAAATATGATTACTTATGATAGTTCATCCACTTCTGGTTTTTTGAATGGGTTTTTGGTGAAATGCCTGAAATAAGGCTAGTGGTCAACACGAGCTCAAGATTTTTTCACGCTTTATTCTGACGACTCAAAATACAACATGTGTCTTGGGACTATAGAGGTTGTTTGGGACAGTAAACATTATCATGGCAAACTGTAAAACTACTCTACTAAATCTAAACTTGTCCTCCTTCACAGCATCATGTTTATAAATTGCGGTTTTGGGAACTAATCTATTTGAATTCAAACTTTTCCATTTGTAGATTTTAAATAAAGATTCAGAAGAAAAATTCAGAGAAAAATGCATTGATATCTATTGATATACATGTATATATATATATATATATATATGATCCTGGGGGCATATTACAGAAAGATTCTAACTTTCAAATCTTATCTTATCTGTTTGGTAACATTGTCATTTCAGCTAGGACCACATTTAGGACAAAAGCTATTACAGAACAGCGTTTCCTAAGTGTGTTATCTTATCTTAACTACAGATAGGAAGGGCGTATTACAGAAACCTCCTAACTTGACAAAAAATCCTAAAAACTGTCTTAACTTTAGGACAGCCCCACAGTCTTAACTTCAAAATTATTTGAAAGCTAACGGAAAAGCCGCTTACAATTGCGCTGTCCAACAATGGTATTACATTTATTAATAATCGAAAATGAAGAACGGAGATGTTTAATGGTAGAAAGACTCTTGGAGGACCCTGAAGATGTGTTACATTTTGATGACAAAACACTTTTAAGTAATTACAGACTGCCACGCAACATGATATTACAGTTAGCACAGGAACTGCAACCAGCATTACAGAGACCAACAAAGCGTCACAGAGCACCGGACGCGACAGGTAAAGTTTGTCTACACTGGACGCGACAAAGTGACCATTGAAAATCATTTGAAATTTGTGTCAGCACGTCATAAATAGAACGCGGCAGCAGTATACTGTCGGGGATTTGTCGTGTTGTGCCGCATCCAGTGTAGACAGCATCACTGGCTATGATGAGTTCTATAGTATTTTGTCGCGCCGCGCTGCGCTGCTCGCGTCCAGTGTAGACACAGTGTAATGCCTTACGTTTTTTTGCAAAAGGCGATTTTCAAGTGAAGTAGCTTCTATTATTTTGTTTACCTCATCAGCAGCTGGCACAGTGTTGGTTGCTTGGTAACAGACCTGAGAGTGGATCGTCGAACATGATAATGCAATTTAAGATTTCCTAACTAGACATAAGATACGATTTTGTAAGATAGGATAAGAATCCCAAATCAAGTTAAGATTTGCTTCTGTAATTCGAATTTGTGAAAAATCCTAATTTAACATATATCTTAAGTGAAGACCTAAGATAAGAAACTTTCTGTAATACGCAAAACCAGTCTTAAGTAGCACGGGTAAATTTGTAGCAATAGCCAAAAATACACTGTATGGGTCAAAATTATAGAATTATTTCTTATATGCCAAAAATCATTAGGATATTAAGTAAAGATCATGTTCCATGAATATATTTAGCAAATTTCCTACCGTAAATATATCAAAACTTCAGTTTTGATTAGTAATATGCATTGCTAAGGACTTTATTTGGACAACTTTAAAGGCGATTTTCTCAATATTTAGATTTTTTTTTTTTTTGCACCCTCAGATTGAAGATTTTCAAATAATTGTATCTCAGCCTAATATTCAAACTATACATCAATGGAAAGCTTATTTATTCAGCTTTCAGATTGATGTATAAATCTCAATTTCAAAAAATGTACCCTTATGACTGTTTTTTTGGTCCAGGGTCACATATTGGGTTATTTGCCATTTTTTTATCTCTTTTGTTTCATTAAAAGGACTTTGTCTGGCAATTACTCATTACGTTCTCAGTCAAATTATAATCTTTGTGTGCCCCTTGTCAGAACTGAGCTTGGTAAAACCAAGGACTTTCTCCAAAAGGACATGAAGTTACAAAACTTGGTGTCTTATAATTATTAAAAAAAAATCATTAAGTCATCTAGACAGTGAATTAATGGTGTGTAATTGTTTTTAATTGGTTATACGTTTGTATGATGGCTTTAGTATTGTATGTTGTAACTTTGTTGTTTATTTGTATACGCAAACTCGGCTGCCTATCTTGGCCAGGACACTCCTGCAAAAGAGACTTTAAGATTAAATCTCCTGCAAAAGAGATTTAAGATTATTTTAAGAGTCTTTTTCCTGGTTAAATAAAGGTAATATATACAGTATAAGAATGTTTCTGGAAGCTTATTGGTGGTGACACTGAACTCATGCAACCGTGGTGTAGTTTGTTTATAGTGTATAGCTTTTTACTTTTGCCGATTGCATTTATGCTTCAAAATTCATACGTTGTGTTCATTTGTGAAGATTATCATGATGAACAAAACGTGTAAGAATCAGAAACTTTTGTTGGTCACAAACAATCACTCATTTTCTGGAATAATTCAACAGTCCATGGAAAAAAAACAGATGATATCGTTTCATCTGTATGGCTCACCTGTGTGTAGAGGTTTCCAGCAGTGTGAGGAGATGCTCTAGAACCTCCAGACAGCTCAAAGACGTCATCCCATCTCTCCAGGGCAGCAGCGAAGAAAGAGGGAGGACAGCGAGAACCTGCAAAACCTGAAGACACCAAAAGAAATGGAGACTTTATTCAGGCTAGATGCCGTATTTTCATAAAACAAGTCATATTTTCAGTGTTGCATCGTGTGAGCGATCAAAAGGTTTCCAACAGTATAACAGACTGTACATCTATCCTACACATCCTTGTTTTCATTCACGTCTAAATAAATATGGCATCTACCCTGACTAATTATACACAAGGAGCATGAGACAGAAAATGTGCTGAAGTCTGTCCAGGATGTTTTGTGAATATTTTCAATGCTTTCATTTGCCAGCCACACCTCTCAACCCATATTCCTTTCATCCATATGAACATTCCCTTATTCCACCCTCCCGTCTGTCAGTAACATTCCTCCCTCCCCCTCCATCCCCCTGCACATAAAACACATCTGGTTCAGCTCTGGCCCTCGGGTTTCCCCTCAGCAGAGCGAGGGAGTTAACTGAAGACTTGTTTTTCTTCTCCTCAGACCCCCACCGTCTTTCCGTTCCCTTCCCGTGACAGGCCAGGTACCTTACAGTGGTCTGTTGACATTATTTAGGCTTGTTTGGTTGATTATTATTTCTTGGATTGCACAAGAGCCTTAAATAATGGCATTTTAAGCCATCTTTTTAATGGCCATTTCAGTCTTTTATACTACAGTGCATTATATTATATTTAAGCACATGACGAAACCAATGTGGATTTAGTTTTAAGACTAAAATGAATATTTTCAGAATGGATTTAGGCACTAGGCTTTAGTGCAATTGCAGTTCGATGCATATTTTCTTATTAGCGTTGCCATTTGAGCCCACAGAGGAAATTAACCCAACTTTCCTCATCACTTCCCAGAATGCTTTGGTGGAAGAGTAGACTTACCATGGAAACCAGGCCATATCAAGAGACTAGAGCCTAACAGCAGCACTTTAAACATTAACAGTTGGCCAATAAAACAGCTTTTAAGAAAACACACTCCCAGTCAGCCAAAATCACTGCAACAGACACATAGAAAAACACGCATCTCCAGACACAAACACACACGTCCTTCCAGAAAAGCCAGTTCCCGTCAGCTTGAACGTTGCTTAATGATAGAAGCGGCAAAACAGCAGGGTAACTGATGGTTGGTTGAGTGTTTATGAGGAATTGAAACGCGACCCCTTTTTCTAAACAGGAAATCGCCTGCCATTTCACTTTGCAGGGCTTAAGCTCTGAGCTGAAACTGCATTTGTGTGTATTGAGTCTGTGAATGGAAATTAAATGACATTCAGCCGGTTTCATTCAGAGACACAGCTGTGAGTAGCTCTTGTCCAGCAGGTTTTTACAGTGTAGATGTTTATTCAGCTAATCAGAGAATCCCCATATGAAGGCATGTGTCATTTAGACGGCTGAATTCACTAATCTCAGGACCGGATCTGTGATCAGGGTTACGGTGAATTTTAACCTGGAGAAATCCAAGGATTTTGACTACTAACCTGCAATAAGTTTCATTCTCAAAAACCACGAGACCTGCAAAGATTATTTCTCCTAGTACTCATATAGTCCAAAGTAATTTCATTGCTTCACATTTCTGTTTTTGTAATTTTTTACAAAATTGTTCTGTAGTGTTTATTGTAAGTGTTTTTCAGTGTTTGATATTTTGTAAAGTTTTGCACTGCATTTTGTGAAGTTTTCCAAGTGACTGTTTTTGCATCGTGTTTTGTTAAGCTTGAAATTATATCTTTTAAATATTTTTTGTGATGTTTTGTTAACGGTTTTGTAGAGTGTTTAAAGTTTTGTAAAGTTGCAATTTTGTTTCAAGTTTTGTTAAATAGTTATTTGTGTTGTTTTTGTGTAAATATTTTTGTATAGTGTTTAAGGTTTTCAATGTTTGACATTTTGTAAAGTTTTGCACTGCATTTTTGAAAGTTTTCTGAAGCTTTTGAATTTTTTTGTAAAGCTTAGTTGAGTGTCTAAAGTTGTGATGCAAATCATTTTGTGAAGTTTTGTTAAGGTTTTCTAGAGTGTTTAAAGTTTTGTAAAGTCACAATTTTAAAAACAGTGTTTTTGTGTGTGTGTTGTTTTTTGTAAATATTTTTGTAGTGTTTGTTGTAAGGCTTCTGGGGTTTTGTGGAGCATTTTTGTCACATTTAACGTTTTGTAAACTTTTGCACTGCATTTTGTGAAGTTGTGTCAAGTTTTCACAGTTATTTGTAAAGTGTCTGAATTGTGTTCTTTAAAGTTCAGTAGATTGTTTGAAGTTGTAACATCATTTTGTGAAGTTGTTAAACTTTTTGTAGTGTGCTTTTGTTTTTGTAGAGTGTTTAAAGTTTTGTAAAGTTACATTTTTGTTAAATAGTTTGTGGTGTAGTTTTTTGTAGCATTTGTTATAAGGTTTTTGTAGAGTTTTTCCAGAGTGATATTTTGTAGCTTTAGATTTTTGGAGCTTTTGTATTGTGTTTTGTAAGGCTTAGAAGAGTGTTTAAAGGTGAAGTAATGCAAGTCATTGTTATTGTGGTTTTGTTTTTGTAAAGTATTTAAAGTTCTGTAAAGTTGCAGCTTTTGCAAGTTTTGTTGTGTTGTATTTATTTATTTATTTTTAGTTTTTGCAGTGTTTTGTACAGTATTCTGATGCAAAAGCGTGATTTCCTCACCTTGGCTTGACACCCAGGGTAAGTCTCATGAAAGGCCAGGGAGGTTAGGCTAGACACACTGAGGTCAAAGGGCAAGGGTCCCTGACCACGATGCTGAGACTCTTCCTCTGTCTTCTGAAGTCTCCTGAGGAGCTGATCCAGGGCAAACAGCCGAACCTCATAGTGCAGGCACCGCAGCAGTCGCTCCAGAAGGTCTCTCTGAAACCCGGCAGACTCTGGACAATCCCACAGGTGAGGTGATTCCACACAGACGCTCACGGCTATGTGAGCCAGACTCTGCAGATACTGTGTGGCTACGTAAACAAAAACTTTTATTTTGGATGCGATTAATCGTTTGACAGTACTACTTTTTTTAATAAAAAAATTATATTAGAACATAAATTATTTTCAAATAGAAATCTTTTGCAGCATTATAAATATCTTTACATTCACTTTTGTCAATTTACTGCATAAAATAAAAATAAAAAAATACTGATACCAAACTTTTGAATGGTAGTGAATATATAGTGTTTCATCGGGCCCCTGAGGAGCCACAAGTTCAGAGGCCATAAGAATCTGCAGAGCTTCCTCGTGCAGTTTCTTCAGCTGTGACTCTAGAGCAGAAAACAACAAATTCACTCAATTACAAGTGACTGCATAAAATAAAAATAAAAAAATACTGATACCAAACTTTTGAATGGTAGTGAATATATAGTGTTTTGAAAACTTAAATATATTCATTAAAACAATTAATTATAAATATACCCATTCAAAACAGCATTTCCATAAATAAATAGTTTTTTTCCCCATTCACAATAGAACAAGTATTACAGATGTCTGCTAGATGTTTAAAACTATACAGAAAAAAGTACTTTAACAAACACTTTCCCTCAATATAGAAGGCACAGTTTCACAGAATGGCTCTCCTACAGGTTCCAATAAATAAACCAAGAATGCCGCAGTTACTCAGAGCGAGAGAAAAGTGAAATGAAGTAAAAACGAAACTGTAGCGGGTCATAAGAGGAGTGATGGTAACCATTCTCAAGTCTTTAAACTCAAGCCAAGTACTCATTACCACAAAACAACACACTGGGAGAAAAACATAATTAACAGAGGGAGGGAGACGAGAACTAGTCAGTCATGAGACAGACTTCGGTTAAAAATTCTGATTTATTTCTCTTTTCAACTCCCTCTATCTCTGTTTTCCTCCAACATACACAGAGGCAGAAACACAGAAGAGGGGACGAAATAAAAAATTTGAGTAAACAGAGTGCGGTGGAGAGAAAGAACGATTCGCTATGGCATTTATTAATATCACTGGCCCTCTGGAGAGACAGAGGAGCACGGTAATGATTAATCTCGGAAATTAAATGCATTTCTCAGCAGGACAGACCGTGGTGAGTTTATGTGTGTGAGTTTGGAGACGGTAGTTCTGGGGATGTGCTGGAATCTTTATGAAAACCTAAACAGCCCAGTGAGACATTCAGAGCATTACACACAAACACAGCCGTCGTCCCAGCTTGACTCAGAGAAAGCTGTGGTTTCATCAATGCCACGACCACCAAGTCTCAATGACCAAATTTTGCTCTCTCATAAAAATAACAATATTACAGTCACTGGCAATAAAAAATAAAGCCCAGGCCAGTGAAATCAAACACTGGCAAAACACTCACAACCTGGAGAGGCAGTTTTCTTTTGAACCTCTCAGCAAAAAAAATAAATAAATAAAAAGGAGAAATGAAAAAGGAGAAATGAAAACAGCAAAAAAAGAGAAATTTAAAGGAAAATTTAACCCAAAAATGAAAACTGTCATCATTTAGTCACCCTCACGCTGTTCCGAACACTTTTAACATTTTCCCTTTTGCACAAAATGAGATGTTTTAAAGAATATTCATGTAAATTTCGGCTTATCATACAAACTCTAATTTATTTGCATAACACTTTTCAGAGTACACATAAGCTGCGTTTCCATCCACCTACTTGTATGCGCATTTTGGAATACCGCATAAAAAAAAAAAACGCTGGATGGAAACGTCAAGATGCTCATAAATTCCAAAAATGCGCATAAAAAAACTTATGCGCACATTAAGGTAGGATAAACTTTTTATACGATAAGAAAAAATGTGCATAAACTACAATGGAAACACATTTACCGAATAAATTCCTCCATGCGCATCAAAAAAGTCATGTGACTTTGCGCTACGAGACGGGATAACTTGACTAGCAGCGGACCGATCTCGTTCACAACATCTACATGCTTTTGAGCAAAGTCTGTCGTCAAAGTATTTTTGTATAATTGTCTTACACGACTACATTTCCAAACAGATTTTGTTCTCTTTGACTCGTTGGATGGAAACGGTGCTTTATTCACATATGTTTTATGCGATATTCCAGTTTTGAGCATAAGTTTAATTTGAATCTTTGGATGGAAACATAGTTACTGATATAGTGTGACGTGACATGTGGCCAAGTATGGTTACCCATACTAGGAATTAGTGCTCTGCATTTAACCCATCCTTAGTGCACACACACAGCAGTGAACACACACAAACCGTGAACACACACCCGGAGCAGTGGGCAGCCATTTATGCTGCGGCGCCCGGGGAGCAGTTGGGGGTTCGGTTCCTTGCTCAAGGGCACCTCAGTCGTGGTATTGAAGGTGGGAGAGAGCGCTGTACATTCACTCCCCCCACCTACAATCCCTGCCGGTACGAGACTCGAATCTGCTATCTTTGGGTTGCGAGTCCGACTCTCTAACCATTAGGCCACGACTTCCCCTAGTACATATTGTATGGCTTCAAAAGACTTACAGTCACATGGACCACTTTCACAGCATTTGTTTTTTTGTCTTTGTTGAGATTCACAGCCTTGGCTTTTACTGTATGTGAAATGTGAACATTTCAACAAACTTTGTTCAACATGTTCAAAAAATCTTTTGAAAGTCATACAGGTTTAGAACAACATGATAAGTCAGTCAGATAAAGGTAAGTCAGTCAAAGGGCTGGGTATTGACACAGATTACATGACTCTAGGGATGTAACGATTAACCGTGAGCCAGTTGAAAATCAATTTAAATGTGATGATTCAAATCGGCTGAGATACTAAACAAATCGCGATTCAAATAGGAGTTTATATGAATGTATGTCTGAGGGAAACTTACTGTCTTTCCAGAGAGTGAATCTGTGTCTCATTCAGCTCATCTGCCGTTTCGGTTTCATGCAGATATTTTTTATGCATAGTTTCACAAAACCGAAGTCAAACCATTCTGTTTTTGCTTCAAATTTCGAAATTATACAATGTAATTTAGATCAAAAACTGATCATGATGCATGTATGCTGCATCTTTGTTTGGATCATGATTAAAATGCAGTGGTTGCCTCTAATTTTAAATGGAAAGAGCACAGACAAAGTCTTATTTTGTTTATATGAAGAGATTTCTTTTGTGTTACTTATTTATTTGATTTGGGGCAATCGAATCGAATCGTGAGTTGAGTGAATCGTTACATCCCTACATGACTCGGTTTCAAATTCACAAGCTCTTCATTTGTTTCCAATTTCAATTCAATATCGGTAAACTTGGATGTATATCAGGTACAGTAAATGTAAATATTTCCTAAGCAAAAAAAGTCTCAAGTAAAGCTCTGAACTCTACGGGTATCCTGTCAATTGGTACAACACTAACATATAAAATTAAATATTAAATTAAACTGTTTATTTTTTATATAATAATCAACAACCAAAAATTGAGTTGTATACAAACATTTAAATGACACAACATTCAAACGGTGACTTTACTTTATGACAGATTTATTCAAACATACATTAAATAATGACAGCATTATGAACAGGTTATGTAAGGTGGTAAATGTTAAGATACGTGACATTGTATATGAGCCGTTTTACTGACGTCACAGATTGAGTTGCACATGATACATTGCAATAAACAACAGTTTCTTTCAACACACCTTCTGTTGTTCATTCTTGTTTATTTTAAAGAAATAGTAGCAAAAAAAGGAAGAGATGATCGCTGCTACTTAAACTGAGGCAGCTATGATATCTGTAACACCACATTAAAGAGCATCAAAACCACAGATATTGTAGAATTTTTAAATTAGAATTAGAATTTTTGCCAGAATTTGAAAGTTTCTTCTAAAATGCTTTTCACATAGAATAGGCAAAAAGACTGATTTTGACATTTAAGAACCCATATCAGTTTATCTAAATGAAGGTTAATTAAAATCAACTAACTAGGGTTGTAACAGTATGAGATTTTCACGGTATGATAATCGTCTCAGAAAATATCACGGTTATCATGGTATACATTAAAGGGGTCATATGATGCGATTTCAATTTTTCCTTTCTCTTTGGAGTGTTACAAGCTCTTGGTGCATAAAGAAGATCTGTAAAGTTGCAAAGACTAAAGTCTCAAATCCAAAGAGATATTCTTTATAAAAGTTCAGAGTCAGCCACACCTACCAAAATGGCTCGTTCTAACACGCCCCCACATATCTACCTCACTATGTGGGAAGATTTGCATAACGCCGCCCAAATGTTCACGCAAAGAAAGTAGGCGTAACTTTTATTCTCGCTGTAGTATTGTTGACGCTGCAGCCATGTCGTGAAGATGCTGTGTGCTTCGTTGTGAAAGCAAAACTACTTTGTTTGGTCTTCCAAAAGAGGACGATATCCGCTTCGTATATAATACCAAGAAAGGTCTTTCTTCACCTAACAGGAGCTCCGTCAAGTTAATTTTTGTCATCTAATTTTTTATCTTAAAATCAATTTTATACACCATCAACATTTAAAAAACAATAAAAAAAATAAAGCTGTACACCTTATGTATATCTGTATCACACTTTAACATTTTAATTAATGGGGTCATATGATGCGATTTCAATTTTTCCTTTCTCTTTGAAGTGTTACAAGCTATTGACATGGTTTTATGTTTACGCGGCGCGATGCAATGCAACGCAACGCGTCAAAAGCCAGTATAAGTCATTATAATCAGTAATTATGTCCCCACTGGATGCAACAAATGCCTCGTTTATAATGGGTTTTAATGTTTTTGTCGTCGCTCCGGCCGCTCTAGGCATCACAATATGGTAAGGGGCGTAACATTTCCGTCACACGCTTGAGGAATTCGGCCAATCACAACGCACTGGATAGCTGGCCAATCAGAGCACACCTCGCTTTTCAGACCGATGAGCTTTGTAAAAATCGGCACGTTTCAGAAAGGCGGGGCATAGAGGAGAAACAATAATGTACAGTATGTGGAAAATAATGTGTTTTTTTAACCTTAAACCGCATAAACACATTTTATTACACCAAATACACAAAATAATGTTCTTTTTAGCAACATCATATGACCCCTCTAATGTTTTAAAATGTTATTAAATTAAAATTTACAACTCCTTTTATTTTTGGCAAAGTTAAAACATGGACAAACATGATTTTCCTTGAAAACAATGATTAAATAAATTATTTTATTATAAAGAATATTATTATTGTTGTTATTATAACTTTGAAGTACATTGTACAATGCTAATATATTTCTGTCATCATTTAAAATTAAATCAAACTTTTATTTTGACGGGTTGTAGCCGACCTTTGAGTTTCAGAGTGTATTTGACAATGTTTTTTCTCAAATAAAACTAGGAAATGTTTATTTACATTTTCTCTCAGAGCAGCTCTGCTGATGTTCATGTTTATGTATCGTAGATGCTGAAAACACCATTTATGTATGCGTATTTCAATATGCAGTACGTTAGATAAAACGGCGCCACTCAGAGACATGCAGAAACAAGCAGATTATTTATATAGCAGTGTCTTTGCGCTTTAATATTCACAGACACATATCATAACTACTTTTGACTTATCCATCCATCAGATTGCGCGTTTTACGTGACATCCTCATTATACTGTAAATTCCATGTTCACGACTGCACCGGGATTCCCTCTGCTTCACGGAAATCATACGGCCTTAACTTATAACTTTTTATTAATGCGACATACCTTTATCTGCATGCAGGGATGGTGTCCGCAAATATGAGCGAAGATGTTGGATGTATTGCCTGCTTTTTTAATATCCGAAGTATTCCCATACTGCAGATATTAACTTTCTTTTCGGCGGGGATGGAGATTAGATATTATCTCATGGCTGATATTATCAGCCAAGTGAATGCAGAGTGAAGCAGCCGAGCGGAAATAAGTTGCATGTGCGCAGGTGAGGGTTTTTCTTCATATATTTTTTTTAAACCATAGATATGCAAATGTTTACGGTATGATAACCGTGCACGTTCAAACCGTGATAAACCGTCATACCAGTATATCGTAACAACCCAAACACTAACTGATATTTGCAACACAGCCCTAGTAAATGATGAGATAATTTAGACTCCCGTTAGTTATTCATAACACTTTCTCACTTTATATAAGATGGAACACTCAAGAATTCTGTGAAATACAGTATTACGGCCCAAGCACCTTTACGACACGCTAGCAGTTAAAGTACATGTGCGATCTTTTTGTTTCTAAGTGTTCAGCTAGAGTTTATGGTGCAGGGAAACAGTGGGCCGTCTGTACTCACTACAGTAGTAAACACACACCGATACACACATGCGGCAATGTGCGCGCACACATGGATTTTACATCATGCCCTGCCATCATTACCCAAACTGTGAAAAACAAAACCCAGACGAGGGAGGAACGTGCAGAGCAGATGTGAGCATGCAAACGCTTTTCCACAGTGGGCGACCCCTACGCTGCCAACCACCTACTGACGAGTGTGTGAGCGCGGTATCCACGATTTATTCACCTGAGAGAGAGAAATATGGGGAATACAGTACCGCTTGTGCCAAAATGATGGTTTGAATGGCCATCAGAGAATTTGTGTGGTGGTGTATGTTAAGGGCGCATTTCTCAGGCGTTACAGTGTTTGATCCACACAGGCTCGTAAACCCGTACGTCTCATGCCCAGCTAAAGCATCGCCAGTAAAAACACCATCACAAACTCTGCTCAGAGTCTCAGAGCCAAACTACTTAGAGCTCTCGGCCTCACACCCACCCACACACACACACACTCACACCCACCCACACACACACTCACACACACTCATTCACACTCACTCACACTCACTCACACTCACTCACACTCACTCACACTCACTCACACTCACTCACACTCACTCACACACTCACTCACACTCACACTCACTCACTCACACTCACTTGTCATGTTCCAGTGAGAAGTACATCAGAATGGGAATACATGCAAGAACTGCCCAGAAAATTTAAACTCCTACTTAGTAGTTCCAAGACAAATGAAAAAGCAGATTGTTAAGGTCCTTCTGCCCAGCTTCAAGTGTTAGTAACAAATTAAAATGTTCATTTCTTCACTGAGGTTACTAACACCTGTGAAGAGTGTGCTTTAGGAAAGAGAGAGTGACTGGCTGAGTGAGAAAGATATAAACAGACAGAGAAATAAATAAAAAGTATGGAAGGATGAATCACACATATTATCCTAAAATAAAAACGGGGGAAAAAAAGAAATATTGTTTACACTTTATTTTATGGTGTCCTAGTTAGTGTGTTAGACAAATTAGTACTGAGTGATATTAATTAACAACATTTACTTTGTTTACAATTGGGTTAGGGTTAGAATTTGGGTTTGGTTCAGGGCTGGTTGCTTATAATTAGTATAAATGTAACAACAGTAAAGTATGTGCAATTACATGTAACGTAAACAAGGGTACTGTGAAATATAAAAAAAAGTATTACCAAAATATTTTGCTTAACGAAAATTAAGATGGTTTTAGAACCATTACGATTTGTATTATTTCATTCTTTTTTATTTAAACATCATTTAATATTTTTTATTTGATTATTTTTTATAAATTATTTTCATTAGTCACATTTTTATTTTATTTTTTTTTACCAAGTTGTATTTATGTTTCTTAAAACTTTTTTGTACCTCCCATTATTTGCAATGGTGATTCTCTAACAGTAATATTTTTTTAAAGTTTGTTTATTAAGTAATTAATTTATTTCTTCATTTTTTCTATCTAAACATTTCTTTGCCTTACAGTAGTTAAAATGACTTTTTTGCATTACGTTGCTTACCTGACATTAAAATAATGTCAAAATACACAAAATCTTGGTCTTATTCTAAAGACTTTATTTTATTTTCTTAATGCAAAATATAATATCCTTTCATTTTTCTTTCAGGTGTAAAATGTGACCTGGACATGTTCAGATTTTATGACATGATAAGGATTGTTTTTAAAAGAAAAGTTCCAATCAATTGGTCAATAAATAAATAAAATATTCAGCCATAACTCACTTACCCTCATGTTTCTCCAGAACCATATGACTTACTTTCTTCTATGTAACACAAAAGGAGATGTTTCATAGAAATATGTTCCCATGCAATGAAAGCAAACATTCACCAGGGTCAGTCACGCTGCAAAACGACAAAAAAAAAAAAAAAAAGCACCATAAAATTGTCCATATGCTTGTGTGCTGTATTTCAAGTCTTCTGAAGTCCTACATTTGGTCTGATGTCAATAAAACAAATTGCATTGTTTCTTGCACGTCATATGACTTCAGAAAACTTGGAATATAGGAATAGAAATATAATATTGTATAAATATAATATTTTATATTTTATTCTTTGTCATTTTTAACTCGACAACACCTTTTTATTATCTTTCACTGTATGACAAAGTGTGAACATTTGGCCTAACATTTATTTTTGTGTTACCCGGCACAAAGTAAGTCATACGACTTTGACAGACTTTAACAAAGTTTGCTGACTATTTAAATTTAGGGTGATTCCTTAAACTGAGGGAGGAAAACACTGCAAAAAGCCAGACAGAGTGTGAAATATTGAGATAGATCGAGTGAAATTTATGTTAAGAGAAATGAAAGGAAAGGTAGACAGAGATTAAGAGGGTGTTAAGAGAGTACAGGGCAGAGTGTATAAATAAATCTCTGAACAGCAAAAATGTGTGTGTGTGTGTGTGTGTGTGTGTGCGCGCGCGCGCGCCCACCGTTTGTTATATAAGTGATGGCAGGTGGGTGGGACTGTAAGAATATGCTTGGTTTTAAAGTGATAAACACCGCCACCATGCCCACATGTGTGCGACACATGGGGCCCACAAACATGCAGGGGCCGCCCTGTTTAACTGGGTCACTCGGGCACAATTGTACCATCTGTCAGAGACAGTTTTTCTTATATCAAATGCCCACAGGCCTCCAGCACACTCAAAATAACATGCACTCAAAGTAGACACCATATTTCCTTGGAATAAAAACTAGACTGGAAGTTAGAGATTTGGAAACAAGCACCTAATACTGGTGTTTATTTCACTACCGTTTGTTTTGAGCTCTTACCTGATACAGGAACAGGAAGACAACCACAAAGACAGCCCAGCAGGTCTAGAAACGCACCACGTGTTACCAGACATAGATTCTGCCTGTCAGTTTGTGTGTGTGTGTGTGTGTGTGTGTGTGAGAGAGAGAGACAGATATTATGTTAATGATAATTATATACGTCATAGTATTTCATTGTATTTACTCCATAAGTTGTACAGAAATTACACATTTTATTTTTCAAGTGTGGCAAAGTGTGAGAAAAAAAAAATTAGGGGGGATATTTGATTGAAATTTTAATGGAAAGAAATAGACAATGTAGAAATACAGTGCAATTTCTATAAAATTATTAGAGAGGCACCAATGTATCAAATCATGTAACAAACTAATGCAATCTCAATTAAAAACAAAACAAATAGTGCATTTAACAGGTTCTATTTGTTCCTACGAATCACTCAGTCAAAGATGGGTTGCCAGATCCACGTTTTTATCCCTTCACCAAACATTTGTAGCATGCATCGCATCCAATAACTACAAAGAGCTTTGTGCTTTTTTACTTCTGCAAAATTACAGAAAATAATAATTTATTTATTTAGTATTGTGTCAAAACACTTTTTTTGGGTCACTGTATTATAGTCAGAGTAACTGATTTTTTGAGAGCAGTGATTGTGGATGCTGAAGATAAAGCATCACATGTGCTGCCCATGGGCACAAAGGGAATTCTGGGCCCTGTATCTCAGACCAACTGCAGGGGTAACATTTGTGAGAGAGGGTGGATGTGTGTGGATCGAGACAGGAGAGGGTATGTGGAAGAGTAAATCAATTATGTTCGTGCGTGTGTGTGTGTGTGTGTGTGTGTGAGAGACCACAGCGCACACAAACGCTCATGGACATGGGCGAGAACAAGAGGGCCAGTGTTCAGGGCTGACGTCAGTATTTCATCACTGAGATATTAATAACACAAACGCTCTCCCTCTCTTTGAATGTCTGGCTTCATCTTTTTGTGTCACTCTGTTGCTCTTTAAACACATAATATTGCTATGAGTTCAACAAATTACAAAGCTAAGGATTATGGGGAAATTTGGTCAGATGTTTGGGAACTCTCATTTCATCTTTATCCCTCAGTCATTTCACACAAAACTGGATTAAAAATGATAAATAACTAGGATTAATTATTTAGAACCAGTGTTAATTATGATTGAGATATTTTTTATATATACAAATTTTTTCATTTTCCGTTTTCATTTTAATTTTAGTTGAAGTTGGTTGTATGTTTTTGTCATTTATATGTGCTACTTTTTATGTATATATAAATGTTTTTCATTAATTTTTATTTATTTATTTTTCAGTTAGCATTTATTGTAAGACTTTTTTATGGTTTTAGTTTTTGGTAACTATAATAACCCTGACTGGGACACCACTTAATGAATGAAATATGCAATATAGCACTGTCTTGGGGCAATGTAGCATACAATTGTTTGAAACATTTATCATTGCATGCTGTTTCATATACTTTTCTAGTAGGCAGAATACACTATATCTTGCTCAGCATGCATTATATTCTATTCTGAATGCACTGCCATGTTCCGTCTTCATTAACTTTCCCAAACTCTCCCTCTCTGTCTCTCTCCATCTCATTAGGGCATTTGTTATAAAGCATCAGTATGGATGAGTGAGAGTGGTCAAAGGGCACGTAGCCGTGCCACTCGTCCTGCAGCGCTGCTGTCCGTGTTCTGGGTCACTGAGCAGAGAGCAGCCTTTGAAACAGGAGCTCAGAACACAGAGAGCTCATTTTACAAACTAGTAAGCTGGCGTGTGAACAGAGCAGCCATCTTATTTTGTAAAATAATATTATTTGCAAATGCCTAACCAAAACGATGCTGGTATGCACACTATATTTGCTGATATATATGCAAATAATGACAGTAGTGGTTAGTGTATCAGAATGACAATACCAACCTTGTGGCAAGCCACAGCCGTGGAAAAAGGGCACTGGAGAGGTCACAGCCCTGCTCATTTCCTGATTGGGGTCTGTGTGTGTCGGCCAGGTAGGAACGTAACAGCGACAGCACCTGTGAAGATGATGACACACCTTTACTATGAGAATAAGCTGGAGAGAAAGAAACCGAGAGATCAGAGATTGATATCACAGAGAGAGAGATCACAAAGAAAAATATACAGAGAGATCAGTGAAATCACACTACTAATACTAAAACAATCAAGATTAGACAGAAAGGTTTTAGACAGATCAGAGACAGAAATTTGCTATTATTCTTGCTAAGTACTCTGTTATTTACTTTTTTCCTTTAATTGTGATCATAGAGCAGAGATTAAGTGATCATCAGATTTAAATCAGAGATATCAGGGAAAACAGAGAAAGAGATTAACATTTAGAGATTATATATAAATCATAGAAAAGTCAGATAAACAAGAGAGGGATCACACAGAGACATTAAAGACAGAAATCAGACAGATAAACAACAGAGATCAGACCAAAAAGATAAATCAGACAGATCAGACAGAGACCTTAAAGAGGGAAATCAGAGGGATAAATAACAGATCAGATCGGATAGATAAATCCGAGAGAGATCAAAAAGAAACATCAGATATCATAGAGAGATATCAGATGCATAAATCAGAGATCGGACAAATAAATAAGAGAGGGATTAGATAGAGACATTAAAGATAGAAATGAGATCAGATAGATAAATCAAAGATAGATCAGACATCAGACAAAGATCAAAGAGTGAATTCAAAACATATAGATCAAACAGTCGAATCAGAGATCAAAGAGAGAAATTAGAGAGATAAATAACAGAGATCAGAGAGATATCTCAGAGATAGATCAGACAAAGATATCAGATTGATATAAAAGAGATATCAGATGACAAATAAGTAAGAGGGATCAGATATCGACTTTAAAGATAGAAATCAGATCAGATAGATAAATCATCGAGATCAGACATCAGACAAAGATCAAAGAGAGAATTCAAGACATAAATCAGACAGAGCAGAGTCAGATCAAAGAGAGAAATCAAAGAGAGAAATCACAAAGATCAGACAGATAACTCAAAGAGACATCAGACAAAGACATCAGATTGATATCAAAGAGAGATATCAGATATACAAATCAGAGATCGGACATATAAATTGAAGAGGGATCATCAGATAGAGACATTAAAGAGAGAAATCAGATCAGACAGATAAGTCAAAGAGAGGGATCAGACAGAGATCAGACACAGCAGTCAGAAAGACACCAGACAGAGAAATTAGAAAGACAGATCAGATTCTTCATTAGTTCATCTTTCCTAATCAAAAAGAGAGAAATCAGAGATCAGACAGAGAAATCAGTGTCTTAAGCTTATTTTAAACAGTCTATAGAGAGAAATAAAATGAAGTAAATGGATAGTAGACAACTCTATGCATGCAAGGTTAAAGAGTGTACAACAGGCTGAAATAGTCTCTTTACTGGGTTATAACCGCAATGTGGAAGCCACTCATTATGCCCCAAGCAGGAGAGGCACAGGGCAAAACAAGTTTGACCATGAAATACTGAGCCTGGTCTTCCAGCTGCGGACACCCCCGACACTAGCGGCCCACACCCTGTATCCCACACATCTAGCCCAGGCCTGCTCGCGCCGTCGGGTGGGAAGGCCCATGACGGTCGGCCTCTTCTGCGCCCTCTGAGGAAAGTGCGTGTATTTATAGTGACGAACTACACAACTTGTGACCGACCACAAACCAATGGCAGCGGCTAAAGGCAAAAATAAACACCCCGTAGAGGTCCATAATTCAGCAGAGTGTATAGAGAGCCGTGCACACATTTAGAAAAGAAACATGCACAAACAAACACCAGCACACAGCCAGAATACATTGCTAGATGCTGACCTTTGACACACTAAGACCTTTGGGTCGGCCGTTAAATAAGACTGAGGAAATGTTTTAAAAGCCAACCTGTGGGCGGATGCTTTTATGAGTAGATTTGGAAAGTCTGGACACAATCTGAATCTAATTAAGCTTATTTGTCTCATCAGTTTGACATTTTTTACAGGCTTTTCCTTAAAGCAGAAACAAAGCTTGTATGAGTGGGTGTTTCAAGGCCTATTGAAGCGGTCACTAAAACAAGACCTTTGGCAGCAATGAACAACACAGAGGAAAGGCATAAAAAAATAAATAAAACACTTACAACATGTCCTAACCAGGCATGATAAGACAAGTTTCTTGTGACAAATAATTTGCTTAATAGTGTAAACAAAAATCAGGCAAGAAGTAATACAAATTAGTACATATTTAAAACGCAGTTATGCGGAGTGGGATATTTGACCAACGAGATTTCACTGTGGGTTGAGCTATCCAGCACACAAAAATGTAAGGAAAATTAATATAATAATTTGCGGATACATCCACTATGATGCAGTCAGAGAAATATATTCTTACTTCACACTAAGACAAGAAAAAGCACCATTACACAAACATCCTGTCCTGTGTCTATATTCACTTAATCTGGCTGTTGTCAATTACAGAACTGACAAAAAAAAAAAACAGAAAAAAAAAACAATATAAGAAAAAGAAAATCTGTTCTCCATTTACAAAACAAACAAATACACACAGAAAGAAAACAAAAGAAAAAAATGGATTAAAGTAAAAAAAAAAAATATCTGGCTGTTCCCAATTTATAAAATGAAACAAATAAAAACAAATACAGACAGAAAAAAACAGGAATAGAAAATAAATAATCTGTTTGTTCTCCATTTACAAAACAAAACAAAAGCACACAAAACAAAAAACAAATCTAAACAAAACAAAAATAAAGTTGATCTTAAAATAGTTGATATTTCCTTAAATAAACAAAGTACTGCTCTCACTTATTTGCTCTCACAAATAAATAAATAAATAAATAAAACACACACACACACACACACACACACACACACACACAAAAACAGAAAATACATTCACACAGTCATAAGTTGAAGCAGCACACAGTACTTTAACTCAAAATTGTGTGTGCACTAGTGTGTTTGTGCAAGACCCCCATTGAGCGGAGTATGTCTGCTGATCTGATTTACTGTTTTCAAAACACACAGTGGATTAATTTCCCTGTGGGACCTGGATGTTACCCAGGACTTTTTAAAAGAAGCTGTTGCATTGTGGGTAAGCAGCAGTGGTGGAGAGCGCTCGGAGCAGGGGCCGAGGCGTCAGGTTAGGTTAGTGCTGCTCAATCGGTTTCCCTCGTTAGCCGGCTCCTAAAGGGAACCAGTGAGTTGTGTCAACAGGGATTTTTAGGTGAACTCAGCAGGGTTCAAGCATTTTACTCAGCAAAGCTGGTTTTGTAATCAAAATGGCACTTTGAAACACTGTGGTGACAAACTTCTTCATTTCATCCTGGTATCAGAACTCTGTAATGCAAATTGAGGGCTGTGGGTGTTGTGTTAAGGAAGGCGTACATACAGTAAAGCTATTTTTATAGGTATCCGATTCAAACAAAGAACAAAAAGATTTTAATTCAGGCCTGATACAACAACATCTGCAACCTGTTTTCCTCCCACCCCCGCTCTTTCTGTTTTTCGTATTTCACTTTCTCTTGCCATATCTGTTTAAACAAAAACACACTGTATAATTTGCTTATGGTCAGTAATGCCCAAAGGAATGTTAGAATGATGAATTGTGCACTACAGAGATGATTGTTTATACTACAGAGATGATTAACACCTCAAATTATGTTATTTTTTAAGCTTGCGATTCGATTTGATTACCAATTCAATTTGATTCCCAATTCAATTTGATTCGCTTCAATATTGATTATTTTGGATATATATATCAGGTACAGTACATGCCAAATTTTCTTAAGGAAAAAAATATCTAATGCTATAAATAACTAATGCTATAAAATATACATGAGAGTCAGCTGGTTCTACATAACTATAATGTTGAAGGTTAAAATTAACTGATTTGTATACAAACACTTAAATTCCACCCAATGAAGTTCTTCTAATAATAAAGTTACAATTACATCATAATATTTCTACTACAATTCGTTTTTTTTTTTGTTTTGTTTTTTAAATACAAACATTTAAATGGTGTCTGTCATAAAAACGGATTTATTCAAACATAAATGAAACACTGAAAATTTTTTATGAATATGTTATATGGTGCATATATTAGGCAAAAAGCTCCACTCTAGAGTTCATTTTTCTAGATGACCAACGAGTTTATGGTCACCGAATATGTTTGTTTTTTAGGTAAATGAGACGTTATTTCAGACATTGTTTCAGAATCAATTACACTTATTCATTGTTTCAGAATCAATTAAAGTATTCTCGTAGCTTTGCAAAATTGAAGTTGAACCACTGATGTCACATGGACTATTTTACCGATGTCCGATGTATTTCACACACCCACACACACACACACACACACACACACACACACACACACACACACACACAGACAAGATTATGTATCATAAGTCTGTTATCTGTTCCTAATCTGGTTGTACACACAAACATCCATAATTTCCATATTCAAAGTGTCTAGAGAGCCACTAGGACACAGCAAATCGAAAAACATACAGTCAAACAGGAAAATAAGAGAACTTTCACTCTCGATTTCCCTTTTCTTTTGTAGTCTCTCTCATGTAATTCTCTTATTTATTCATTTAATTTTGATATATGCGGTTCTATGTGAATATGTTTTCAAATGTAATTTAATCCTGTGATGCAAAGCTGATATCTCAGCAGGCATTACTCCAGTCTTCAGTGTCACATGAACCTTTAGAAATCTTTCTAATATGCTAATTTGGTGGTACTTATGAATGGTAATGTGTATATACATGTATAAAAAAATAGAAAATACATTTTATGCATAAAAATAAACATAAAATAAGAAAATATTGATCTTTGTCGCTTATGAACAAACTGAAGCATCAGGTGGCAGGCATTTCACATAAAGACTTGAAGAATTTCTCTCATTTCTAAATAAAATGCTGCATAAGACAGTTACCTGCTACCACTTGTCACCAGAGCACCACCCACACAACATCCCTCACGCGGATCTCAGCGATTCCCCACCGCAGTCTAATTCCCTCCACATCTGCAGGAGCTTTGAGCAGATATATGACTGCCATGACAGGAAAGAACACCAAATCCAGCTCTTTCCTTACCGAGCACATCTTCATCCCAGCACTTTACAGTTATGTCCGTCTTACACACACATGCTAGCAAACTATTCCAGTTTCATGTCCAGAAACCTGCTTCAGTGTCAAAATTACAACATCGCTCTGTCGCTATCTACATTTATCTAAGCCTCTAGGTTTTATACTGATGCTTGTTGAGCACTTGAATTTCCCTTTGGAGTACAATTATGTGTGCGTGTCACATTCCTTAATTTAGTCCCAATCATTTGCTTAGTGTACCAGTGATACATAATCATACCCTGCATGTTTCTGACTAAACACATCAACACTTTTCATTTTTTCAAACAGGAATGATTCTTCAGGTATCAGCTCCTTTCAGAGAATAGCACAATAGAATAACACATTTAAAGGCTTCTGCAAATACTTTACACTGTTGTACACACCTTATATGTCATGTAACACGTTAAGTTAATGGATTGCTGTAGAGAGCATGTGACTAGGGGGGATTCACACACCTGAAGCAGTGTGCCATGGATGTGGTTTTGTTGGAGTCCTGGTCCAGGTTCTTGAGGCAGCTCCTCCAGGAGAGTCTGGATGGTGGAGGGAACTTCGGTCACCAGGACAAACGGAACCAGGGCTCTCGCGGCCATTTCACGCGTGCGGTACACTGCAGAGCGACCACACCTACAAGACAACCGGTTCACAATTATATTTCAGCCACTTCATGATCTCTTCAACTCAGAGTAACTGCATGGTTCTGAGGGGGTTCTGGTGAAGGACTGAGAAGTATTTTTGGAATTAAACTCTCTTCTTGAGATTATAACTGTGCACACTGAACCAACTTCATGAGGTGCATCCTGGAATACTTTTAAAGGGTTAGTTCACCCAAAAATGAAAATTCTGTCATTAATTACTCACCCTCATGTTGTTCCAAACCCGTAAGACCTTCGTTCATCTTTGGAACACAAATTAAGATATTTTTGATGAAATCCGAGAGCTTTCTGACACTGCATAGACAGCAATGCAACTGAAATGTTCACAGGCCCAGAAACGTAGTAAGGACATCGTTAAAATAGTCCATGTGACATCAGTGGTTCAACTGTAATTTTGCAAAGCAGCAAGAATACTTTGTGTGCAAAAAAAAAAACAAATAAAAATAAACAATTCTTCTCCTTCGAGTCACCCTAGGGTGCCATTTTAGAGAGCATCACGACGCATGTGTGTACATTCCTTTGCACGTAAACAAGGCTTAGCACATGCATGTTCTACGTCAGAAGCATCACACGCATGCGTTGTTTACGTGCAGAGGTACTCTTGATAATGGCAGAAGACGTGATTTGGAGGAGAAGAATTGTGGAATAAAGTTGTTATTTTTGTTTTCTTTGCACTCAAAAAGTTTTCTCGCTGCTTTGTAAAATTACGGTTGAACCACTAATGTCACATGGACTGTTTTACCGATGTCCTTACTACGTTTCATTTCAGTTGCATTGCCATCTATGCAGGGTCAGAGCGCTCTCGGATTTCATTAAACATATCTTAATTTGTGTTTCGAAGATAAACAAAGGTCTTACGGGTTTGGAACAACATGAGGGTGAGTAATTAATGACAGAATTTTTCATTTTTGGGTGAACATTCCCTTTAAATAACACGAGTTCACGTACTGTAAACAGTAAAAACTTTATACAGTAAAAAACAGAAATACTGTGAAACAGGGCTGTGCAAAAACTCTAATGTGATTTTCATGCGCATCTCGTCAGTAAAGCCGCTTCTGTGATTAGTAGTAAATCTCCAGCACGTGCTTTCAGATGGAGCAGCATTTACTACACAGGGCTGTAGTTCACTGACAAGCTACGCAAAATCGTGTTCATAATCGGCAATGAATCGCCTGCAATTTTGAACGCGATTGTGTAGCTTGTGTTTTGTTTTGTTTTGGAAAGAAATTGATACACAGGCAAATGTATAGCTGCCTACAAAATTAATATCAAACATTGCAACAGAAGCCTTTAGATAATGCCTTAGATAATGAGAAACACAAATTAATTCAAGTGCCTTCAAACTTTTCCCGGTACTATATTTTATGTACATATATTTTATGTAAAACATTATTTTATAGATTCCTGGAAGGTTCACTGAACTCTTTTGGACTGGTAGTATGTTCGGGGACGGGGTCTTGGTGATTTCATTTTCAGAGCAGCCCCCTGATGACTTAGACGACTGCTTTACAAGCACTAAATTAAAGAAGCCTCTCCAAAGTTCTGGAAACTCCCCCAAGAAGCTCCAGAGACATGAAATAGGGAATATCCATCCATCCATCAAAAAAAAGGGGATTGGAAAAAAGAAAAAGAAAAACGATGTAGCCATCATGTTTGTAGATAAATGAATGGAAGTTTGACAGATGAACAGATTGAAACAAAAAATAAACCATAGCTAGACTTGCAAAGCTGTGATTGGGATCTGCTGACAAACTTTGAGCTTTGGTGTTTTTTGGTCCTGGGAATGTCGTGCAAGACAGCGTGCACGCTTCCTGTTGCGACCAAGTGCTCTCAAGCAGCCAAGACTGCAGGAGTGGGTATTAGGACAGGCTCAATGATTAAATTAACAAAGATATTTACATAATGTCTGTTTTGTAATGACATCTACATAACACCTAACAGACTTTTTTTTTTTTTTTAATCACTGACAAGCTACGCAAAATCGTGTTCATAATCGGCAATGAATCGCCTGCAATTTTGAACGCGATTGTGTAGCTTGTGTTTTGTTTTGTTTTGGAAAGAAATTGATACACAGGCAAATGTATAGCTGCCTACAAAATTAATATCAAACATTGCAACAGAAGCCTTTAGATAATGCCTTAGATAATGAGAAACACAAATTAATTCAAGTGCCTTCAAACTTTTCCCGGTACTATATTTTATGTACATATATTTTATGTAAAACATTATTTTATAGATTCCTGGAAGGTTCACTGAACTCTTTTGGACTGGTAGTATGTTCGGGGACGGGGTCTTGGTGATTTCATTTTCAGAGCAGCCCCCTGATGACTTAGACGACTGCTTTACAAGCACTAAATTAAAGAAGCCTCTCCAAAGTTCTGGAAACTCCCCCAAGAAGCTCCAGAGACATGAAATAGGGAATATCCATCCATCAAAAAAAAGGGGATTGGAAAAAAGAAAAAGAAAAACGATGTAGCCATCATGTTTGTAGATAAATGAATGGAAGTTTGACAGATGAACAGATTGAAACAAAAAATAAACCATAGCTAGACTTGCAAAGCTGTGATTGGGATCTGCTGACAGCAGATGGAAGCGAGCATGGAGGTATGCGTTCGTGTTAACATTCACATTCTTAATCTGCTGACCTCAAACTATGAATGTCATATGGATTCTAAAGGGGGCATGTTAATCTGTACAATAACAACTTCTGCGGAGGCGAATTAAGCCCATGTCATAACAAATTAAACATTAAGTTACATGAAACTACTGTTTCTGGGAAAGAAACAATGTACAACATTGACTATGGGATATCATGCACTTCTATTGACAACATTCACATAGTCAGTGTTTAGGACTGGAGCTTGAATAGTCAAGCACCTCTTTCTACACCAACACTTTGTGTTTTACTATCAAATTATATATAATAGCTTAACTTACACCTGAATGTTGTCCTTGAATTCCCACAATTTTTGGGAATGTGAGTTCCTTAACGTGATGAATGATGGGATACGTTTAGTCTCAATACTGCTTCGAAAACGGTATTAGTGATCGTCAATGGATTACAGGTAATAATATTGTAAATAAATGTTTAGTTTCTTGCACAGACAGATAATTTCGCTTCATAAGACCTCAATACATCATCAGGAGCCACGGGTATTAATTTTGTGTTGTCTGTATATGCTTTTCTGACTCTCAAGTGCTGGTAGCCTAGTGAATTTTTATGAATCACCAAGGACCACGATTTCAGCAAAAAAGCTGCTTTACTGTCCTGAAATAAAAACTCACCTAGGGTGGGTAAATTAACAACAAATTTTCATTTTTGGGTGAACTATCCCTTTAAG